TCAGGTGTGGCTTTTTGGAGGCATAGATTACTCCAAATCTGGAACCTCAACAATTCTGGGTTGCTAGCAGCTGGTCCATCCCTCATCAGAAAATGTATCAATTCCTTTGGCAAGACCCCAGAGAGAGAGCCTCCAGATACTCCAGCATCACCTCCGTCCATAGGCCATTCACTAGCTAGGCAACACCTCTTTCAGGCTTTGGTAAACTACTGTTGGAAGGGCAGGCTGTGGGCTTGATAAGGAGAATCTTAACTGAAGACCCTGCTGAGAATGTCTCCTTTCTATTGTCCCTGTTGGAAATTCCAAGCCCTCAAGCTAAAGTTTAAGGAAGACTTTTCCTGTGTTACTTATAAACCCATTTTCAGCTCCTGTTCAGTGGGCTGACAGTACTTGAGAAAAAGAAAGTCTTTGAAAAAGACTTTTTCTTATTTTATAATTTTTAATTAAAAAAAATTTTAAGTTTATTTATTTATATTGAGAAAGAGAGAGAGCATGAGTAGGAGGGGCAGAGGTGGGGGGGGGGAGAGGAGAGAGAGAGAGAGAGAAAGAGAATCCCAAGCAGGCTCCTCACTGCCAGCATGGGCTTAAACTCACAAACCGTGAGATCATGATCTGAGTTGAAATCAAGAGTCAGATGCTTAACGAACTAAGCCACCCAGGTGCCCCTATTTTATAATTTTTTAGAAGTCCAATGGTAGTACATGCTTGTGGTTAAATTTTTTTGAAAAATGCTGACACCTATACAAATAAAATGCAGAAGCCTGTGTCTCATCTCTCTTCCTGCTCCTGCTACCCCCAGGGGACCTTCAGCATTTGCTATGTATCCTTACAGATCTATTTCTTGGCATTTAAAAACACTACGCACACGCACACACACGCACGCATGCACACGTGCACGTGCTTCCTGAAGTCTTTCCAATTTATCTCTTCTCCTCAGCCTTTTGCACTCCTTCTTAAGAGATTACTACTTGAGTATTCAACCATCTATTGGCTAAACTTATTAATTGATTTTCAAAACTGGGTGAATCCACCAGGTCAAGCAAAATTATCAGAAGATTGATAATTGTAGAATCTGGTTGGGGGGTAAATGGGCATCCATTTTGCTTATTTTCATGTGGGTTTCAAATTTTTTAAAACACAAGTGAAACTGAAAAGGAATATGCCAAGCCCTGAGACATAAAGTAAGACTGTACCCGGGCTCAGTCGGTTGAGCATGCAACTCTTAATCTTGGGGTTGTGAGTTTGAGCCCCATGTTGACTGTAGAGATTACTTTTTAAAAAAATCTTTTTTTTTAATGTTTATCTTAGAGATAAAGATCAAGAGTGAGTGGGGGAGGGGCAGAGAGAGAGGGAGACACAATCCACAGCAGGCTCGAGGCTCTTGAATTGTCAGCACAGATCCCCACGCAAGGCTCGAACCCACCAACCCACCAGCAGTGACATCATGACCTGAGCCGAAGTCAGAGGCTTAACTGACTGAGCCACCCAGGGGCCCCCAAAAATAAAATCTTAACAAACAAACAAACAATTGGTAAACTGCATCTGGCTGACCTGTTTTTTAAATAACTTAAAAAAAAATTTTTTTTTTAATGTTTATTTATTTTGAGAGAGACAGAAACCAAAGCAGCTCCAGGCTCAGAGCTGTCAGCACAGAGCCTGAGGCAGGGCTCAAACACACCAACCTTGAGATCCTGACCTGAGCCGGATGCTTAACCGACTGAGCCACTCAGGTGCCCTTGCCCTGTTTTTAGGTTCAGACTGCTAAAGAACAAAAATTCAGCTGAGTAAATTGAAGATCTAATTCAGCAACTGATGAATTGGGCAGTATCCTCTCTAGCAAGTAGAGGGGAACCTCCAAGAGTTGTACAAAATGGAAAGTTTTTATAGGAAGGAGGGTGGGGCGAGGAAGTTATTAGCAAAAGAGAAGAAAGGATTGCTTGAGGCAGAGTCACTTTCCTTTAAGGGAAAGGGCAGGGAAGGTCTTGCTGGGTGGATTATCTCCTGTTCCTTTTGGGGAGGCAGAGGACCCAGGTGACAGGAGTTCGAGCCCTATGTTGGATATAAAGATTACTTTAAAAAAACAATAAACTTAAAACAAGCCAATTGACAGGCTAAAACTTCCATTCTAGCAGAGGTTGAAACTGCAATCAGGTTAGGTGTTGAGCCCAGTTTGGTGACTTGGCCTGGCCTGGTGTTGCCATTTTTGGCCTGTGTTTCTCTCTCTCTTTTTTTAATTTTTACAAAATGTTTATTTATGCTTGAGAGAGAAAGAGCACAAGTGGGGGAGGAGCAGAGAGAGAGGGAGACACAGAATCCAAAGCAGGCTCCAGGCTCCAAGCTATCAGTGCAGAGCCTGATGCAGGGCTTGAACCCACAAACCGTGAGATCGTGACCTGAGCTGAAGTCAGACGCCTAACCCACTGAGCCACCCAGGTGCCCCTGTGCTTCTCTTTTTAGTAAGACTCAGAGTATCTGTTAAGATTGAAGCATGAGCAGAAGGAAGGCCTTCCCCCGGCTTCCTTGCTGTTGGCCATTATTGGGGTGAACTACCTTCCCAAGGGAGGAGGCTCCTGGGGATTTCTTGGCTTCCAGCTCCGAGGGCATGGTCTCTCCAGAAGTGCAGTGGATGGGGTGGCAGAGGGGGGACGTTGGAGGGGAGTTGGAGAAATGAGAGGGAGAGAAACCCTGACCGGTCTTCCAGCCGGGCCCTGTTTTTCAACTGTCACCAGAGAGCCTGGAGGGGTTGGGTGGGACATCCACCCTCGTAAACTTCGTGCCTGTGTCCAGCTGCAAAGTGTCCTAGCAGAAGCTAGACCAGTCCCCAGACCCCTTTTGTGTCTCTGACATTTTTTTTGGTTTTGTTTCTGACACTCACTTTGTTTTTTAAAAATGTTTTTATTTGGGGCGCCTGGGTGGCGCAGTCGGTTAAGCGCCGACTTCAGCCAGGTCACGATCTCGCGGTCCGGAAGTTCGAGCCCGGCATCGGGCTCTGGGCTGATGGCTCAGAGCCTGGAGCCTGTTTCCGATTCTGTGTCTCCCTCTCTCTCTGCCCCTCCCCCGTTCATGCTCTGTCTCTCTCCGTCCCAAAAAATAAATAAACGTTGAAAAAAAAAAATTAAAAAAAAAAAAAAAGAAAGTACACACTGGTTTGGAGAGATGGGCTAGAAATCCATCTTTTCTTCCCCACTTGGTGCCCCTTCAAACCTTCATTCCTCAGTTTCTTCGCCTGTGATCAAGGTTCTAGGAGTCCATGAATTTGGAAGGGAAATTTTTACATGTCTGTTTTCGTTAATCTTTCATTGAAATCTAGCATTTCCTTCCATTGTGTGTGTAGACATCACATCACATTAGTGCAGGCGGTTACCGGGACTTTGTCCCTACTGGGAGTGACAGCTATTTTCATAACACATCACAGTTGCCAACATTTTGAATATGTACACTCATCATGACTTCAAAATCATAGAAGTTATCAGGCCCACCACTATACTGTATTTCAGTATAACTTGCCTCGTTTGTAATCCTGGGCATTTTACTTTATGCATTTAAAAATCTTACTCTGGGGGTACCTGGATGGCTCAGTTCGTAGAGCATGTGACTCTTGATCTCTGGGTTGTGAGTTAGAGCCCCATGTTGGGTGTAGAGATTACTTAAAAGCAAACAACTAAAAGTCTCACTCTGGGAAGGGTCCAAGGGTCTCACCAGACTCCAGAGTGGCCTATGGAACAGAAGAGATGAAGGGGCCTGCTCAGTCCTGTCCACAGCACCTCCTGCCCTCAGAATCACCCTGCCAGTCCTCTCTCTGGGCATCCAGTCCCCATTCCTGGGTGCTGTGTGTGCCTGGCACCCTTCCTCAGCAGGCCAGCTACATGCTGCCATCTGCTGGGGGTGGCCCACATGACACCCTGGGGGTAATGCCAGCAGGCCAGGTCTGGGGACCCAGGGGTGGGGGGGTCCTGAGGGACCAGCTGAGAGGGTCTCTGGCTGCTCCCAGGATAGAAATCAAACTCAAGCCAGCAGGAGGTAAAAGCAGAGCTTACTGAAGGGAGAGAGAGCGAGAGCGAGAGCGAGCGAGCGAGCGAGAGAGCGCAAGCGAGCGTGTACAAGGTGTCTGGGAGGCTCAGAAAGGAAAGGAGAGCCCCTTCTATTTTCCTGGGTCTGGTATATGGGTCGTCTCAGGCATCCAGGACCCAGTTAGAACACAGGGCCTGGGTGTTATTCCTTGGAACCAGTGGGTCTTGGCGGTGAGTTGTGTTGTGCCGGGGTGGCGGGCAGGTTGGGGGGGGGCGGTCTGGAATACAGATATGATGTCTTCCTTCAGTCTTTCTCACCTGGTCCTTCCTTAGAGATTACCCGTTCTAGAGTAATCATGAACTCCTCATCCTTTACAAGGAGGACATATGCTATTTGCGTTATGAGGCATGTGAAGAGTGGGGCGGGGGTGCAAGTCCTAGCAAGAATAGAAGCAGGAAAAGGAGCAAAAAGCAGACTTTTTTTTTTTTTTTTTTTTTTTTGAGTCCTTCAGTTTCCCTAACCCCATGGCCTTGGTTAGATGCTTGTGGTCCTTCTAGTCTTTCTGGGCATTATGAGGTGTAAGTGAAGATATGGACTGTGCCACAAGTCTTGCTCGAGGTCCCTCCGTGCCACTCCCACTCGACACTTGCTCCCTGCCAGGGTCCCTGGGTCCCTGCGCCGCAGATGTGTAGTGCTGCCTGGTCCGTGATGAGGGTTTGGGAGCAGGTGAACAGCCCAGCACAGAACTAGGACTTGAAGCCAGAGGCAGGAGCACCTGTGGTGGAGTATCAGGCCGAATGGATTTTTATTTTATTATTTTTTTTAATGTTTATTTATTTTTGAGACAGAGAGAGACAGAGTATGAACGGGGGAGGGTCAGAGAGAGAGGCAGACACAGAATCCGAAGCAGGCTCCAGGCTCTGAGCTGTCAGCACAGAGCCCGACGCGGGGCTCGAACTCACGGACCGTGAGATCATGACCTGACCGATCGGACGCTTAACCGACTGAGCCACCCAGGTGCCCCCCGAAAGGATTTTTAAAAACCAATTGTTCTTTGAGCACATGGGCCACTAGTTAAAAGTCGAAATAAGAATGTGGTGAGAAGCTTCTCTCCCTCCCTGTCCCACTGGCCTCAAACTTCACCAGCTTCGTCTTCCTTCCAGAGCCGCTCCCCACATCTAAAGCAAAAATGAACGTGAGCTGGAACTCTGCCTTTTCTTATTTAAATGTTAGGCACCTGGTCTGCACCTGGCTTTTTTGTTTAACAATATTGTCTCGAAAATTGCTTCTATCTACATATAAATACTTCCCTCCTGGTTCTTTCCTTTTTACTGCTCTGGTCATTTCCAAGCAGTCTGTGGAAAAAGAATGTCTTTCCACAGAACCAGGAGTACTCAGATATAGCCAGAAATTGCAGGGTAGTTCTAGAACTCATTTACCCACCTACAAAATTCCAAGGATCCTAGGTGAAAGAATTCTGTATTCCTCTTTAGGTGGATTTGCTTTTCAAAAGGGGTCTCACAGGACTGTTGTACCTTAATTCCAAAAATGACTACGTGGTAAATTTTGGGCAGGGCTAGGGGTGAGTTGCTCTTTGGGTAGAAGTCTACTTGTGGTGTCCCAAATCCAAGTGCTAGGGTTCAAGATCTCTGTCTATCCAGACAAGATAACCTTGTCTTCCCAAGCCAACCATGGGGCTCTATATAATAAATGTCACTCTCCTACTGGCAGCCAACCAGCTCTCCTCCCCAGCTTCTCTCACCAGATATGTCCGCAGGCCAGCAGCCACCGGCTGGGAACACCTCAGAACGATGCTAAGAGATCTAAGTGCTCCCTGGGGGTGAGCCTGGTGGATGGGTGCCCTGTGTCCCTGCACTAAGAGCAGTTCCCGTTTCCAAGTTTATCAGGGTTTACATGCCATTCTCTGAAATAAGCTTTGAGCTGAAGAATGGGTGCTTTCTCCCAACAAACCACACGTCCAGCAGGGGGCTTCTTCTCATAGACATCTGACCCTTTCATCACTTTGGGCCACTGAGATACACCAATAGATTCCAGGCCCACCCACTATACTTCTCATTCTAGTATAGTTTCCTGCCAGACTCACCCGGCAGGAAAGAGAGACCATCCACACCTGCCAACGTAAGCATCTTGTGGGCCAAGCAGGCTTCTCGGCAAAATAGGAAGATAGCATTCTGGTTTTTACATCGGTGCTTGGTGAGTTTGATTAGTGTGAGTCAGTCTTGCCAAAGGGATCCCCTCTGGCCCACAGAGCTAAGGGTTGCACTGCAGACCACAGTGATTTCCCCCAGAGTAAGTGCCCACTTTGCCCTCTTAGGCCAGTGAACCTGCTGCTTGGGGGCAGGGGCTCTTCCTGGTGGGCCTTTTAACTGGAAGCATGTTAGTCAGATTGAGGAAGTAGGTTCCAGTGTCTGTTCGCTCTGTGTGAAAGAAACTCAGTTGCAGAGATCATAGTGACCTTGGATGTACAGTGATCAGATAGCAGAAAAATTAGCACAAATCCATCCTGACTGCCAACAAATGGTCAGGGTCAGCGGGTCCCCTTCCATCTGAAAAATGGCACCACCGGTGTTTCTCCTTCCAGGTTGAACTTGGCATTGTTTGGGAGGAAGACTTTTTTCTGTACGCTCTTAGGTTCAGTTCTTGGGAACATGCAAATTAAACTGGCAAGACACAGATTTGCAAAAGAAGAGATATTTTAAAATTCATATACATACATGTGAGTTCACAGAAAAATGTAATTCAAGGAGGTGGTTAGAATTTGGGGCTTCTATACCATCCTCATAGGGGAAGGGGAGGGGGAGAAGGGCATTTACAGGAAAACAAATGGATTTTATTTATTTATTTATTTATTTATTTATTTATTAATGTTATTTATTTATTTTGAGAGAGACAGAGACAGCATGAGCAGGGGAGGGGCAGGATAGAGGGAAAGAGAGAGAATCCCAAGCAGGCTCCGCACGGTTGGTGCAGAGCCCGACGAGGGGGCTCAAACTCACAAAACCATGAAATCATGACCTGAGGTGAAGCCATGAGTCAGATGCTTAACCGACTGAGCCACCCAGGTGTCCCATCAAATGGCTTTTAGGAAAGATAAGTAGGCCCTTAGGAAAACAGATAGGAAATATGGTAGTCTTGTGACAATACCTGCTTATGTGATTTCTTACTCCAAAGCAGATTTCTCTCCAGTGGAAAGAGCCCATCTCCTGAGGAGGAGACTGGTGACAGCTGAATCCTTCCAGGAGACTCTGCTTTTAGATACTGGGAGTATGGGAAAAACCACTCACAGTGAGAGATTCTGGATCCCTTCAGTATGAATGCTCCTCTTCTCCTTGTCCAAAGGCCAGGCTGGTTGGGGGTGCTCAGGGTCTAGGGGTTTGGTTCAGCATTCCTGAGACTGGCACAGGGAATTCAGCAAGGGCAGAAGGAGCGGGGTAGTCCCCCCCAGCAGAGGCTGTGCGAGGGTGGAGGAAAGGGCCAAGTCACTATGGTTGGCGATCCAGGGCATGTGTAGGAGCACAGAGGGCCAGGGTCAACTCCTATGTCCTTGGGCAAGATTCTTAACTTCTCTGGGCTTCATTTTTCTACTTGGGTAAAAACCCTCACAGGACCACAGTAAGGCTAAGATTACTTAACGCATTCAAAGCACATGATACAGTGCCTGGCACAGAGCAAGTGTTCAGTTAATGCAGCCAACTTCCCTAGACGCTGGGGACAGGCAGTGAGCAAAGCCGAGCCCCGCTCTCCTGGATCTTCCATGAAACAAAGGTGTACATGCCATCATCAGATGGCCGGGTACACCAGCAGAAAAGGAAGCAGGTGAGAGGCAGGGAGGGAGAGGTGGGGGCTGGTGTGGTCAGGGAAGGGACATCTGAGCAGAGACCAGAATGAGGTGGCCTCACCGGAATTAGGATGATGTCTCCTTGCTGTTCCTCCTGCATGTTCCCCTTAATCATTCCTTCTCTTGCCTGAGTTTCCACCAGCCAGTGAACCGGGACTAGGTCGGTTCCCATCTCAGCTGAGCACGTGGCCTCCTCTCCATGATCCTTTAGGGGGGTGGCGTCAGTGGAGCGCGTGCACATGGGGGCCCCAGGTTCCGAATGTGAGTTAGGGTGGTGGGTTTCTTCCATTCCTCTGTACCTCCTAATTCCACAGGGCCAGAAGACACGGCGGGGGGGGGGGTGCCCTCTCCAGGAGAAAAGCTTACACATTCCGCCCTCTACCTTGTCTGGAGGAGCAGTTGTGCTCGGGGAAACTGGCCAGCTGTATGGCTGCGGGGCGAGGCTGAGCTGCAAGAACCAGAATAGAAGGGCTAAATTTAAACCGTGTCTGGAGGCTTCAGGGAGCCCGCGGGCCTGTGGGCCCTGGGGTGGCTCCGTCCCACCTCCCTCCTCTCCTTCCACCTCCCCACTCCCTTCTGCCTCCTCCCCCTCCCCCTCTCCCCTCCCTCCACCCACCCTCTTTCCCCTCCCACCTCCTCCCCCGTCCTCCTCCCACCCACTTCCCTCCTCCCTCCTCCCTCCTCTCCTCCCTCTCAGAATGGAAACTGTTTCTTTCCTGGCTGCCGAGAGCCAGTTTCCTCCCAAGGAAATAATGTCTCACCGCAGCTGAGGCCGGCACTGCCCCCTGGAATTTCCCTGCAGGGGAGAAACACCCCGCTGGCGGAGCTGCTCTGAGCTGGGACACACCTAGAGCCTGCTTGTGCACAACCCAGAGGGGGACACGCCCAGAGACACACACAGAAGTAAACAGAAACAGAAACAGGCTGGGAAAACCCTGGGGGGGGGGGGGGTGGGGTGGGGGTGAACCCTAGGATCAGGTTCTTGTCCCAACACTGTCTCCACCTTCCTGTGAGGCAGGAGCAAATCATCTCCTGTTCTGAACTCTTTTTTTTTTTTTTTTACCTCCTTAATATTAAAATAGACCTCTTAAGAATCAAAATAGAACAGAACTCTAAAGGAATCAACCTAGAAAGTGCTTTGATTATTTCAAAGATGTCTCTTTCTTTGTTCAAAATATTTTTAAATCCCCTTTTTTTTTTCTTTCTGAAAAATTCCTTTAAGGACCAGTTTTAGGCACTCATAGGTCTGCCTTGTTACTTTTCCAGACATTTCAGTTTTGCCTAGAGGGATCGCTGCCCACGGTACCAAGAGACTTTGGGCTGGTTCCAAATACTGAGTTCAAAAGATTCCTGCAAGGACAGTGAAAAGACTGTCAGGTGCCATCACTGTTGCAGAATTCCCCTGATGCCCAAGGCCGGTCTCCAGAGAGGGACAACAGCTCCTGGAGGAGCTCTCAACCCTCAGCCACGCGCAGGGTCCTTCTAGAGCCTTACATAGTCCAACACTCAGACACAGAGGGGTCTGCGCGCGCGCACACACACACACACACACACACACACACGGCCAAATGGAAACTTCTAGTTTCAGCTACAATATCCAGAGGTAGCAGTCTGTGAGAACCTGAGCCACGCACCCCTCGTGTTTTTGTGCATGTATTCACCGAGGCTAGACACGGGGGCTGTCACAGACCTGATCAGGTGGGGATGGTCACAGCTCAGACACCCTCCAAGCAGGCTGTGCCCGGAGACTTTAGCAGGAGAGTGAGCGCTGAGGGGACACACCCAGACACATTGGGTTGCCTGGTAACACAGAATGCCAGGCCCAGGGACACACACCCTCTCTGGGATCACACACTCATACTGTTTCCACAGGGGCAGGATCCCACGGAGCCGGCTGGCTGCCCCAGGCACACCCTCTCGCCACCGAGAACTGCCTTCGTTCAGAGATGTGCCTGGTTGGCTCAGTCGGTTAAGCGACCGACCTCCCGACCTTGGATCAGGTCTTGATCTCACAGCGTGAGTTCGAGCCCTGCATTGGGCTCCTTGCTGAAAGCTCAGAGCCTGCTTCAGATTCTCTCTCTCTCTCTCTCTCTCTCTCTCTCTCTCTCTCTCTCATTCTCTCTCTCTGCGCCTCCCCCATGCATTTATTCTCTCTCTCTCAAAATTTAAAAAAAAAAAAAGGAAAAAACAGCTGTGCAGCTAAAGATCCTGCTCATTGGCACCCCCAAATGCTTACCGGATTTAGAGAGTGCTGAGCAAGCCCCCCAAAACTTCCAGTCCCACTCAGTCACACACACACCGTTAGAGTGGTCAGAGTCTAGACTCCTCACGTCCTTTTGTTTCCTCTCGGAAAAACTTTGGCTTTTCCATTTTAAGCAGCCAGTGACCAAACAGTCTATTTCTGTAACTTCTTAGTATTAGCCAGAGCCTGTTCTTTTGAAACTTCTACAGTTAGTCAGGAAGAATGCTTCTGACCTTTGTTTTCAAATTCAACTATGCAGAACACTAAACACACAATGTGAAAACACAGAGGCCAATTTTTTTTAAGGGTTTTTTTTTTTTTTTTTTTTTTTTTTTTTTGGCCGGGAGGCACAGAGAGAGAAGGAGAGAGAATCCCAAGCAGGCTCCGACTGTCAGCCTGGAGCCCTATGTGGGGCTTGAACTCACAAACCGTGAGATCATGACCTGAGCTGAAGTCAAGAGTCAGATGCTTAGCTGATTGAGGCACCCCTCAGAGAACAGTTTTTAAAATTCACAGACAAACCATGTTTGAGGGTTTTTCAGCTTTTTGTGGGAGAAAGGCAAGTTTACTGACTTCAGTGGTTTTTAAAATTCGAACTTGGCAAACAGGAAAACAACTGTGGAGTCTTTGTAAAGTGAGCAACAGGTAAAAGCTCCTTCGGGCAGCACCCCTCACTTCTTAGGGATGGGCAAGCTGAGGACTCACCTTTGACCTGGTCTCCCCAGCCACCTTGACCAAAGTCAATCTGACCTTGATTCTGCGGAACTTCCGGTGTGGTGTTTAGACTGCCTGTCTAGTAAACAGCTGTGCCCTCCCTTGGGTCCAAGGACAGCCCCCCGTGTAGGTTCTGTCCCCTCCTCTGGATGTTTCAGACACGGTGTTGGCTTTTGGGATGAGATAATCTGGTTTTCCTGGCCACAGCAGTCTGCTTACTCCAGTTCCATCACCAGACAGGACCACCCTGGAGACATCCTCAGATCTATACACTGGGTCTAGCTGGGCCCTCCCCTGCCATACAGGTCCGTCCTTCCTCTGTCCCTTTTCCCCTTTGCCCTTCCTTCCCTCCCTCCCTCCCTCCTCCATCCCTCCATCTCAACCTCTGACAGGAATTCCATTGTGAACCTGGATCGGCTACAGCGAATAGGGATCTTGCCACACTCAGCCTCTCCTTACCTTATCTCCCTCTCTCAATATTCCTTTTTATTCTTCCTATTCATACAGCAGTCCCTTCTTATTCATGGGGAATGAATGCTTCCCAAGACCCCCAGTGGATGCTTGAAACTGTGAATGGTACCAAACCCTATATATGCTGTTTTTTCCTGTACATATATACCTATGATTTATTTGATAAGTTTAATTTATAAATTAGGCACAGTAAAAGATTAACACAATAACTGATAATAGAACGATTATAAAAATATGCCACAATTTGAAAAAAAAAACCATATACATGTTATGTGGATGTATTTCTCTCTTTCAAAGTATCTTATTGTACTGGGCTCACCCTTCATGTGATGATACGAGATGATAAAAAGTCTACATGATGAGATGAAGTGAGGTGAATGACATAGGCATTGTGACGTTAGCATTAGGCTACTGTTGACCTTCTGATGTTACGTCAGAAGGAGGGTCACCTCCTCCCAGGCCATGGTTGACTGGGTAATGAGACCCAAAGTGAAATCATGGATAAAGGGGGACTATGGTACCTCATTACCTGAAGTATTGATGAGTGCCACATTCAAGACAGAAATAGAAATAAACAAAACAAATCCTATTAGACTTAAATTTTTTTAAGTTTATATATTTTCTTTAGTAATCTGTGCACTCAGCGTGGGGCTTGAACTCATGATGATGAGATCAAGAGTTCATGCTCTTCCAACTGAGCCAGACTGGCAGTCCTAGATCTAATTTTTTAATGAAAAGTTTCTATATGTCAAGACCCACAAAACATATTTATTTATTAAAAAATTTTTTTAAGTTTATTTATTTATTTTAAGGGAGAGAGAGCGGGGGAAAGGCGGAGAGAGGGAGAGAGAAAATCCCAAGCAGGCTCTGTGCTGTCAGCACCAAGCCTGATGCGGGGCTCACACACTCGAATTGTGAGATCATGACCTGAGCTGAAATCAAGTCAGACACTTGACGGACTGAGCCACCCAGGCGCCCCACCAGCAAAACATATTTAAAGGCAAAAGACACATGTGGAAAATACATTTTCCAGATGTATGTGGCAACAGAGGCAAATACCCTCATCATCAAAGGGCTCTGATAAAGCACATGGCACCAAAAAGGTAGATGGATGATGTGAGCAGGGCAGAGGAATCAAAACAATGAAATAGGGGCGCCTGGGTGGCTCAGTGGGTTAAGCGGCCGACCTCGGCTCAGGTCATGATCTCGTGGTCCGTGAGTTCGAGCCCCGCGTCAGGCTCTGGGCTGACTGCTCAGAGTCTGGAGCCTGTTTCAGATTCTGTGTCTCCCTCTTTCTGACCCTCCCCCGTTCATGCTCTGTCTCTCTCTGTCTCAAAAATAAAATAAACGTTAAAAAAAAATTTAAAAAAAAACAATGAAATAAATGAAATAAGAAGAGAAAATGTTTAATCTCCTTAATACAAAGAAGTCAAAATAAAACCATTTAAAATAACATTTCCCCTTACTACCATCAGATTATAGCAGATCAATGCCCACTATTGGGCAGCAGCTTTCTCCTGAATTATTTCTAGAAATGTGAAAGAATTGGAACAGCCTTTTTGGAGAGAAATCAAGCTTTAAAATTACAAGTATCTTCTGACCTGTCAGTTCTACCTCTACAAGTTATCTGGAAGGAATCTTTAAAGTGTCCAAAATATACGGCTACAAAAATGCTCATTGCAGTACTGTTGCTAAAAGAAAAAGGGGGAAAAAATGTGTTTCTAATTTTTTTTCCTTTTTTTCAGAATTGTAGACCCATGATTGTATTGCTTTTTTTCCTTAAGTTTTTTAAAGGTTTGTTTATTTATTTTGAGAGAGAGAGAGAGAGAGAGAGAGAGAATGTGAGCAGGGGAGGGGCAGAGAGAGAATCCCAAGCAGGCTCCGCACTGTCAGCATAGAGCCCAACATGGGGCTTGAATTCACAAACCAGGTGGTCATGACCTGAACCAAAATCAGGAGTCAGATGCTCCAATGACTGAGCCACCCGGTGCCCCTCAAGATTTTTATAAAAGTAACCTCTACACTTATGGGGCTCCAACTCACAGCCCTGAGATGAAGAGTCCCCTATTCCACCAACTGAGTCAGCCAAGCCCCGCCCCCTCACCTGTTTTATGTTGTATTTATTTAAGTTCTGAACATGCCAACTAGACCGTTATTTTGTATTTTACTACCTTATAAAAACTGCGGTTGATAAGAAATATTCTGGGGCGACTGGCTGGCTTAGTAGAGCGTGCAACTCTTGATCTTGGGGTTATGAGTTTGGGCCCCACACTGGGTGTAGAAATTACTTAAAAATAAAATTAAAAAAAGAAAGAAAGAAAAGAAATATTCTCAGCTGGGGTGAGTCTGAGGGTTAACTCAGCCCCTCCCTGGCCCTGTGACCCATGGAAGGGTTTTCCCCTTCAGTGTTTCATTCTGAGTGTGCGGGACCTTG